CAAGAAGGCTATGATCCATTTCTTTTCCAAAAAAAAAAAAAAAAAAAGATTTGCAACTGGTTAAACTTATGAGTTAAAATATTAGGGAAACCTCTACGTATACAAGGTTTAGAGTTGAGAGTCGAAAGGGGCTTTGGGGTTAGCTTTACATTGAACTCCATCGTCTACCCGCTAGAGCTATTAAAATTACACTTTTTTTTTTTGTTTCCACATGAACTATTGCGAGTTCAACGTCTCTTATAATATATTCACTTATTATTAAATTTTTTGGTCAACTTTTAAGGGTGGAAGTCTCCAATGCAAGCTCGTTTCATGTTTGGTGAACTTATTTCAGCATTTGGTCTCAATTGACAGGAAAGCTGGATTGCCTGTTGGTTATAAGGGATGCCAATTCCATAGAGTCATCAAGGATTTCATGATTCAAGCTGGTGACTTCGTCAAGGTAATCCAGTCTGTTGGTCTGTTTAGGCAATGTAGGTATTAACTAATATGTATATTAGGTATTGATTATTATGTGCTGATGAGAACACTAAGCACCATCTAAATCTTTATATCTAGTATTCCGCGTCCTTCTGTTAACTACAATGAGAATAGGAACATAGTTCTAGATTCCTTGTCTTGCAAGGAAAAGTGATCAAAATCTACCATTTTACAGCTATGTTTCTACTGCTTTATCTTACTTTGAATTAAACTCTTCTGCTGTATATGATGATTGATCATTATAGTTTTCATTATTAAGGATAATTCCCAGACAGAGATTACATTTCTGTCATTTCATTTATGTTGAAAACTTCTTTTCATTGTTAGCATGGTTCCTTCCTGTTTTTTTTTTTTATTTTTATTTTTTTTATGTCGTTGTTTAAACATATCAACTTAGTCGTCTCTTTTTGTTTTAATGGAAGTAAAGAAAATTCCCTCTACTCTGATTGCATCACTTTGTAGAGTATTTCTTCACTCACTTTCACCTCATCATCTATAAGAATTTTCCAATCTCTTTGTTTTGCAGGGTGATGGCAGTGGATGTGTTTCCATTTATGGACATAAGTTTGAGGATGAAAATTTTGTTGCTAAGCACACTGGACCAGGTTTATTGTCAATGGTATGCTTTTCTATTGAATTGAGATTCAATGCTTTATATATGTTGTGTAATTGTACCGATGTTGCTTAATTTTTTTCTCTGTAAATATTTGGCTTGTGAGTCATAATGAGATTTTTAGGGAGATTGAGAAGTCGGGTGAAGAGATTTGGGTTGGTAGGTTGTTGGATTTCATGTTTCCTTGTGGTTGTCTGTCAATAGGTATTTTTGTATTATGGTATTGATCTTGTCTTTTATTTGCCTTTTTATTTTCATTTTTTTCAATGAAAGTTCGGTTTCTTACCAAAAAAAATAATACTAAATAAAAGAAAAGAAAAAACTCCATTCACTGTAAAATTATTTTGAATTTCATAAATTCATGCACGGATGATAATATCTTCAGCAAATGTAAACCTTCTGCCATCATAATATTAAAGGTATTTGATTCCTAATAGCTTTGATGTTAAGGGCAGGATGTTTGGAGATTCTCTCCAAAGTCCTAACATTAAGTCTGTAGATGGAGAATTGTTGGCGAGGTGGAAGGTTTATTCTTCATCCGTTTTTGTACTTGTTTATTGACTTAACTCTGTGTTTCTTTAGATTGAGTTCTTTCTTTGGTAATAAAGTCTACTGTACTGGTGGAAAAATCTCTGATGCTATTAGATTAATTATCCACCATGTTTAATTGATATGCAAGTACAGATTTGCTTATGTTATTGAGTATTATGTTTAGAAGGCCATTATTCACTATTTTTTATGTAGTGTTGTCATTGTATAATTCTTACTTACCATGATGTCTGCTTCTTCTTCAGGCAAATAGTGGGCCTGGGACAAATGGATGTCAGGTACTCCAATAACGTTGCTCTCTCTCTCACACACACACACGCACACACCCCTTCGAGTTATTTAATCTTTCTATTCCGGGATACCATTTTAGCATCTAATTGCAATGCCCTTCATGAGGACCTATACGTACAATTCCACTATTTTTAATCTTATTAATATTAATTGGATGGTGTTCCTAGAAACACTTGGCCCTGGGTTGGCATGGAAATCTAATCCCTTTCTTCCGGAATAAGTTCTATTTTCCAAAGAACTTAAAATTTTTATCTCATAAAAAAAGGAATTTAAAACCTTTCAAGGATGGTAGTCTTTCAACTGTACTAAACTATTGGTTTTCTTTCTTGTAATCCACCTTTGATGGACTTCTCATTTCATGCTTTTGTACGTTTGTGAATGTGTTCAGAGTTATTTAGATGAGAGATGAATTGAACCTCTAGCCTTCCACATATTTCCTAATTCTTTCTAATTTCCAATTTTATATCAGTACCAGATAACATCCACACATGCTTTCTGGCCATTCTGATAACATATAGGTTTAGAAGTTGGAACAATTATTTGTATTTAAACAGTCACAGATGGTGAATAACTATCTTTGATATTTTATGGCATAGTATGAAGGACAGTCTATGTGATTCATGCCGGTGGGCATCTTTGTTAAAGCTGCTTTTACATCATTTTGGAATGGTAAATTATTTTGTTCTTATAGTAATCACGTTTTGCTGCAGTTCTTCCTTACTTGTGCCAAATGTGATTGGCTTGACAACAAGCACGTGGTGTTTGGGGTATGCTTCTTGTTCTTCAGCCTTTTTATTGCATATTTTAGTGGTAACATTTATGATATTTGAAAACGTATATTATCTGGTTGATGAGACTCATAACTTAAATCTTTCCTGGGTCAATCCCTTGGAATGATTCATTAGAGGGAAACATCTCATTCTTGTGATTTTTGAATTAAACATACCTCGAGATATGTTCCCAACCCCCCAGAATGAAAAGTTTCTAGCACTACCATAATCATCCACTGCTAAAATACCTCTGCAATTAACGTACGTGTCTGCGAGAAAGGCTACTACGGGAATTTTCCTATGATCACGTTTCACTACCATTTATTGATAGTATGTTAACTTATGCTTGGAGGAATCTCAATTGAGGCTTCTGTTGCACCAAAATTCCGTTGATCCCTTTCGTGGGAACCTGTAAATCTAATGATTCCTTGGGAATTTAACTTGTAACGTTTCTATACCATCACAAGTGTAAATTCCGAGTGCTAGATTAAAAATGGCCCGAAGAAACTCAATGTGAACGCTTGCCTGGTTTTAATTGATCAGTTGACTAATGATAATTCAAAATGTGCATGCGTATATTTTGCTTGCTTCCATGTTTATGTTTAAAATATCATCATGAGCCCATTGCATTTTTATTTTAGAAAAATGATTTAGGTATTTTAAGATTAAAAATACCTAAATATTTTAGGAGAAAAATTTAGATATTTGAAGAATAGATTGCGTAGCCTATACTATAAATACCCCTCCACTCCACTTAGGTCTTCCTCCCAAAAAATACAAAGCACAGAGTGCAGCAGTAACAAATGTCTTGTAATCTTTTCTCGATTGGTGTTATTAAAAAGTGGGAGTATTTTCCACAAAAAGTTGTGTTCAACGTGATATGCTTGTGTTCCTTGTCTTCGTAGTTGTTCTCGTCCCTACATATTCTTTGATCTATTTAGTCGATTATGTTATGTTACTTATTAGAGCTGTTTATAAGACAGAGATGACTACTTTCCTAGCTTCATTTTGTAGTCTAGGCAGGAATTCTCGAATTTTGTCGTTTTTTATTTTCTGCTCCTAGGGTGGTAGTCTTATCATCGTTTTTTTTTATTTTTTTGCAGAGGGTGCTGGGTGACGGCCTTTTGGTTGTCAGGAAGATTGAAAATGTAGCTACTGGCCCTAACAACCGACCAAAACTGGCCTGCGTTATCGCTGAATGTGGTGAAATGTAAAACTTGAGTTACGGACTTCTACTCTATTGCCCAAAATATATGCTTCTCTAATTGTTAGAGTTTTAACTTCCCTGCCAGTTTCTGCTGTAATGGAAAGCAGACCATGATATTTAAGGATATGAATCTTTTCGATACAATCTACCTTAGGTCCTTGATAGCATCTAGGACGCGTTGCTTATGGGTGCATGTCAGTTTTAACCCCTTTTTTACCGAGCTTTCGTTATGTCTTTTCTTTAGCATAGTTGTTTATTTTCTTTGTATTATGTAGGCATACGCTCCTTCCTACTTGAGTTATATGCTATGAGTATTGTTGTCGTCTCTATTTGCTTGTTAACTTGCAACATTTTTTTAACAGTTTTCAAAACTTTTTCTCTAATTCCACCTTCCTCCCATGATCTCTAACCATCCTATTTTTTATACATTCTTTTGGAGGAATAGAATTGTTTTCTATCAAAAAAAGAGACTTGCATTAAATAACATACAGATACAATGATACATACAGATTGTTGCAAGTAGCATCTTTAGATTGTCACAAGTGTAATCAGGCACACAAATGAAAAATGGAAACTATGGAATTGTTTATCTAATGGCTTTTGTCGATATACTTGAGACATCAAAAAGTCATTCACTCTTTTGGACGAGCAAGCCACAGGGAACTAAGAGCTCGTAGTCTAGAGAAGTAATCATGGATTGCAAGAAGAGCACGAGCTGATTGACGAGTTGTCAATATCCGGTGCATTTGTTGCAGTGTCTGTTGTCGTAGATTGTCAGCCTGATATCATTATGCAAAGACCCTGGTTAGAAAAAGTATCTAGGGAAGATAAATGTAACAGCTCATGCCCCAGGCCCACTGCTAGCAGATATTGTCTTCTTTAGGCTTTCCCTTTCGGGCTTTCCCTCAAGGTTTTTAAAATACGCCTGCTAGGGAAAAGTTTCCACACCCTTATAAAGAATGCTTCGTTCTCATTTCCAATCGACGTGGGATCTCAAAATCTCCTTCCCCCCTTCGAGGCTTAGCGTCCTCACTGACACTCGTTCTCTTCTCCAATCGATGTGAGACCCCCCAATCCACCCTCCTTTGAGGCCCAGCGTCCATGCTAGCACACCACCTCGTGTCCACCCCCTTTTAGGGCTCAATCTCCTCGCTAGCACATTGCCTAGTGTCTGGCTCAGATACCATTTGTAATGGTTCAAGCCCACCGCTGACCGATATTGTCTTCTTTGGACTTTTCATTTTGAGCTTCCTCCCAAGGTTTTTAAAACGCGTCTGTTAGGGAGAGATTTTTACACTCTTATAAAAAAAATGCTTCGTTTTCCTCCCCAACCAATATAGGATCTGACAGACAGAATGCATTTCGGTGGGATAAGTTCAAAAGAATGTTAAGCATACCTGGTGAATAAACCCCTCAAGAGTCCCAAGTTTCCCCATGGCCGTGGCCATTTGGCCCATGTAGTTAGCCACATTGCCAGACGCATTCGAAGAGCCAAGAGATCCACTGGACAATGTCTCAGCCAATGATTGCTGCAACGCTTCCATGCCTTGTGACAATGCATCTTCAGTTTGTTGTGAAGACTGCTGCAAGTTTGATATGCCCAACAATTGCTGTTCTGTGAGCGGCTCTAATTGATTTACAAGAAGCTGCAACAAAACCAATCATTTTTAGTCAAACTCGCAGCTTTACATTAAAACATCAGTTTACATCGATAATGCTAAGAAACTAAAAAACGTTCCCAAAGCGGAGGACAAAGGGCAAGGGCAGCTAGTCCCACGAGCCCTCTGTCCCACACATCTACACATCCATTCAGACGAATTGCTCATGGTTCCAAAGCGGAGGAGGAAAGGCAAGGGCAGCTAGTACCACGAGTCCTCAATCCCACACATCTATTCAGACGAATTGCTCGTGGTTCCCAAAGTGGAGGAGCAAGGGCAAGGGAAGCTAGTACCACGAGCCCTCTATCCCACACATCTACCCAGACGAATTGCTCGTTGTTTGCTTAATTGGCCATAACGTCCGGCCTTCCAAAAATTTATATCATATCCTTAGTCTACATATTTGTTGTTCTATAAAGATTGTGAGAGCATCAAAATGAGCAGACCTTTAGGAGCTCTGATGAACGGAAACCACCAAGCCACAAAAAACATCTTTCAGCTGGAGTTTTCCACATGCCAGACAATAAGTGAAAAACATCAGCCTTTGCAGCGACGCCTTTTAACTGAAAAAACTCGTCGTAGTGAAGCAAGATGCCATCGACAACCATTCGAAGTTCGGTATCGCTTGCATGAGAGTTTACGGCTGCTCTCAGTTCATTGATCTGCTTGTTTTGGTCTTCCAACCAACGGGCGTATTCCACATCAAATGCCATGGCTCCTGCAAATGTGAAGTAGCTGATGCTATGCAACTTCAAACTGAAAAGATAGCTAAAAGAAAATACATTTACTATCACAAAGTTGGTTAAGTTTATATAATTTGAGCACACAGTTTCGAATGACGACTGAAATAAACAGAGCTTATTGAGCTCCCAACAACGGAAGGCGAAACAGTGTCGGGCTAATGATCATGTCAGATTACAATGTTTCTCACAGACAAACATAATCGAATCACAAATTTCAGGTCGTCTCGTGAAAGTAAGTATTGTGATTCGAGATAGTTAAAGTACCATTTCCAGCCATTGAATGAGCCTGATCTCCAGAGCTTGATATGAAGATTCCCTAAACAGAGGGACACAATTTATAGGCATTCTAAAGAGATTCAAACTTAGGAGGTTAGAAAAAAAATCATGAGAAGGAAGTGCAGGCAACCTGCTGCCGTGCTCGCTGAAGCTCCTGCTCGAGTTGGGTCAACTTTAAACGACTACTCTCGAGCTGTTGAACATATGCCTACGTTCGGGAAAAAAGTTGGATTTAGCGACACAATCATTACATTTGTTGTTTTAAACTAACCAAGTAATCTTAATTACTGATATTAGTTTGACATGCTAGGGAAGAAACGCTAAGCATGGAGGCAAATAATGAAGTGTCACAAGGTCTAGAGATAAATAAAATAAAGAAACATCCAGACAAAGATAACATACATGGCTTTATATAGCCTCAAAATGAAACCCTGTGTAACCTTCATACTTTATGACCATAATTAGCTATTATATAAATGTAACCTAAAAATAAATAAAAAGTCTTAAAACTTAAAAAACATGAATGAAACACCATAAATCTAAATTTTAATCATCCATCGTAAATTTGTAACCATCTAAGAACAAGTGAAGCAGCTTAAAGCCATGTTGCATAAATGAGACTTGATTCTTCTTAATGTGAAAATGATTGCAACTTGAGTTCAACTTTAATAGAACTTGACTTTATTTTGTGGTAATTTAAACAACATCCTTCACGACTGTTTTTAAGTTCATATTGTATGATTGAGATGCCTTGGTTCATATCACCATACATCAAATTCGGGAAATGTATTATCATAAGCCTAGACATATGAAACGTGATTACACGAAATGGTTGAATAATGGCTGCATCTCATTCTTTCTTGATTATTGCACATACAAGATCGTACGATAAAGAGGACTATTGGAAGAGGGCACGAATCTCGAGGTCTCTACATCTATGAACCACACATGTCTATACATGCTCTCGAGTGTCCTCTCCCTTTGAAGAACATTGTTGTTTGGGTCCTCCATCTATTTTAGTGTTAAAGAGTTTTCATCCTTAGTTTAATAATTTGTCTTCTTTAGATTGTGAGTCTAGCTAGTTTGCAAAGTTTCATTGTTTTGAGTATGTATCCTAGGACCAATAAACGAGCTAGAGCTTCTTTTGAGTTAGCCCATTCTGATGTCAGAAGTTCATGTCCTATTGATTCCGAGAGAAGATTTCGGTATTTTGTACTTTCCAGTATGCTGAGGTTGTGAACTCTGATAGATCATTAGGCATATAACATTAGGCTTCTATGTTTACGGTATGCATGATTGTGAAGTCTGAAAGATCATTAGGCTTCTATGCATTTCAGTATGTTGAGGTTGGATCATTAACACTTAATGAGCATGACGAGCATGTTGTATGCCTTTACATGTTTATTATGCATGATTTAGGATTTGGATAGCCCGTTATGCCCAGTTATGGGTTGGACTACCGCTATGTGCCATAGAGTGCTAGTTATGATTTCCATAGACTATGAGTTAATGTTTTGCATATTTTGATCCTAGTAACTAGTCATGAATTTCATAGCTTCATTGGGTTAACCAGGTACCTTGTAGGGACGAATAGGGTGCAACCACTATTCGTGAACTAACTGACAAAGGTAAGGGTCTACTTATTACACATAGCTTAGTTCTCACCCATAGAGGATTTCAGGAGTTAGAGGGTATACTACTAAAGTACCATCGGTGGTGCCTAATGGGGAGAGCCATGACCTATTTACTGTTTCAACCTCTGAGTGGTGTAATGTCAAGTAGTTTTACTGTTCTAGCTTAAAAAAGCAAAGTAACAGGTAGTTATTGTTCCTAAGACATGTAGTTCTACTGTTCTAACCCGATGAGGGTACATGAGCAGGTAGTTTGTTGTTCCAACCTAGAAAGGAATAGTGACAAGTAGTTTACTGATCTTAGGAACAAGTAGATGTTGCCCGGTGTCACGGTCATGCTTGTCCAAGGCCGGTTATCTATGGTCACATGTCAGATGTCCTGGTCATGCTTGTCCAGGACCTGTTGTCCATGGCCGCACGTCAATTTCAAACTCCTTTTACATGCTTTGATCTTAAATAGGTCTTTACTATTACCGTTCACCAGAATCATGTCTACACCCTTCATGGCTAAAATACCCCAAAATGTACTATAGGGGATACGACTAGTTGTCTATTCCTCCTACACTAAGTTATATGCTATTTAAGCTATGGTGTTCTTTCTTTGCTTATAACCATATAACGTTGCTTTCTTCAATTCTTTTGTTTTCAAATGTATTTCCTCGCTTAAATGTATTTTCTCACAAACATGACTTGAGGCTTGAGCATACACCGATATTGTCCGGGAAGTCCGAATTTCTCACGGCTGACTTGTTTGCTAGGTTAGAACAAGTGTTGTACAATCGCTGTCCCACTGTCGCAAGAGTGCGATTGTGACACCCGGCACCATTAGGGAGAATCCGCTAATTAGAGCTCAATAGGTAGATATATATAGAGTACGGCCACCGTTTAGAGAAAAAAGGGGCTCTCCAGACTTGTGAGCATTACCCTAGGGCCTTTCCATGAGCCACAATGACTCGAGGTTGTAGCAATTAAAACCTTGAGCTAATAATTATATCAATTTAAACCCTTTACTTTTATAAAAATATCAATTTACATCCCTTATTAGATCATGAATGAAAAACATTAGTTCACACACGTGCAAACTTATAATTATATAATTAAACTCTCGAACATTCATACATGAATCAATTGAGACTCTTCGTTTAAAAATCATTCAGTCTCCAATTCTTCACATGAAGGCTTCGAAAAAAACTCAAACCTTCTAATTAAAGGTCGTCCCTACATTTGAAATGGATGGTCTAAATTGATTCATTTGTGAAAGTTCAAGAATCTATCCGATACAATTACAAGTACATACCCGTGAGAACTAACGTTTTTCAATAAGTTGCCTTTCTACATTCAAATTCTAATACTTCAATTACTTAACAAAATAATAGCAATGGAAACGACACCATGATTGTAATAGAAATAGAAGGACAAATACAGAGCCATACCTTTTTCCGCAGTCGACTTTTTCGGGCAGCTTCACGATTCTGTGCAAGCCTACGTAGAGTCTGAAAGATAATAAGCCATTTTTGTCACAGCCAAGAATATGAATCTCTGATATCAATTACATAACTAATATAGGAGCACAACCTTCTGATCAGACTTATCTTTTGTTCTATCACTTGAATCAGAAGCCGCAGCAGCATTAAGCAGAACCATATCAAGCTGTAAATGTATGTATGTGTGTGTGTGTATATATATATATATAGTGCAGAAATACATCAGCAGAGCATAGAAAAATCAACCAAATCACCATTACAGCCTAAACGAAGTCATATACTCTACATATGAATTATGTAAATGAAGAAGTACAAGATAGCTCATTGTTAGAATAGGAAAGACATTACCCTCTGGTTTTTGTCATCTGTGTCGACGTCTGTAGAGATGTCGGTCCCTGGACTGCCATCAGCCATGGCATATACTTCGAGGTTCTCTGTAATACTGCAATGATATGAAAACCAACGGCATCACTGCATGGGAAATGCTGTGGCAGAATGACTGAAAAGGACTACATAGTACTGGATTCTAAATAAAACGACCCAAGCCCACCGTTAACAGATATTGTCCTCTCTGGGCTTTCCATTTCGGGATTCCCCTCAAGGTTTTTAAAACACGTATGCTAGGGAGATGTTTTCACACTCTTACAAAGAACGTTTAGTTCTCCTCTCCAAACAGATGTGGGATCTCACAATCCACCCCCTTCCAAGGCCCAGCGTCCTCGTTGGCATTAGATTGTGAGATCCTACATCGGTTGGGGAGGAGAACAAAACGTTTCTTTATAAGAGTGTGGAAACCTCTCCCTAGCAAACGTATTTTAAAAACCTTGAAGGGAAGCTCGAAAGGGAAAGCCCAAAGAGGACAATATCTGCTAGCGGTGAACTTAGACCGTTCCACTAAAGTTACCAATTGATCTTTCAACGTAATGACAATAACAAGTGAAAGCTTATACATGACCATAACTGAACTTCTAGTTGAAGCTCCACAGTGTGTGTGTGTGGGAGAGACTAAGACAATTGAATTGCAATCAAATGAACTTCCAAGTTCTGTTCTGGGGAGGCAAACTGTGAGTGAAACTTGTGAGATGAATACAAAACCAGCAATCAAATAGAGCTCACCTTATTAAAGGTTCCAATACAGAAGGTTACAAGCAAATGTTTGGCCTCTTAAGACAGTTTCTGCATCAAGAGTTCAACATATTACTACCCAAAAAGAGGGCAGTATACACAAGTAAGAGTGTGTTTTTCTCTTAGCAAACATAAACTAAGGCTATAAATAACCTTTTTTTCCTCAGAAAAGATACAATCTGTTTGAAATAAACGAAATATATAAGGTCAAAATGACCAAAGGAGTTGTAAGAAAAACACTATTTGGTCTGTATCAGGGGAAGATAGTAGTTATGGAAGAGATTATATCTAATACACCAAGAAGAAGCTAAAAAACAGTAATACTAATTAGTTGTTGTTAGAGATGGGTAGGAAATGCAATTCAGCCTTAGATAGCAATATTGTGAGATCCCACATCGGATGGGGAGGAGAACAAAGCATTCTTTATAAGGGTGTGGAAACATCTCCCTAGCAAACGCATTTTAAAAACCTTGAGGGCAAGCCTAAAAAGGACAATATCCATTAACAGTGGACTTGGGTCGTTACAAATGGTAGCATAGCCAGACAACAGGCGATGTGCCAGCGAGGAGGCTAAGCCCCAAAGGAGGGTGGACACGAGATGGTGTGCCAACAAGGATGCTGGGCCCCTAAGGGGGTGGATTGGGGGGTCTCACATCACTTGAAGAAGGGAACAAGTGTGGGCGAGGACGCTGAGCCCTGAAGGGGAGTGGATGTGGGATTTCACATCGGTTGGGGAGGAGAACGAAGCATACTTTATAAGGGTGTGGAAACATCTCTCTAGCAAACGCGTTTTAAAAACCTGAAGGGCAAGCCCAAATAGAACAATATCTGCTAGCGGTGGGTTTGGGCCGTTACAAATGGTATTAGAGCCAAACACCGAGCGATACACCAACGAGGAGGCTAAGCCCCAAAGGGGGTAGACACAAGACGGTGCGCCAGCAATGGCACTGAGCCCCGAAGGGGAGTGGATTATGGAGTCCCACATTAATTGAAAAAGGGAACGAGTGCCAGCAAGGATGCTAGGCCCCAAAGGGGGTGAATTGTGAGATCCCACATCGGTTGAGGAGGAGAACAAAACATTGTTTATAAGAGTGTGGAAATCTCTCCCTAGCAGACGCGTTTTAAAAACGTTGAGGGGCAACCCCAGAAGGGCAAGCCCAGTGGGCTTGGGCCATTACAAATGGAGACTAAGAAAAACGAAAATTAGATTGTGGTTAACTTCCAACGATTTAAAGGTGAAGAACCATTAGATACAAGAAAGAGCTATAGGCGTTAAAGACACAGTTGGGAAAAATCAACAACTAAGCTGAAAGAAGAAGCAATGACCAATGATGGCGAAGGAAGAAGCTCTTGGCTAGTGATAAACAAAAGAACCATATGAACTCCCCAGCTCCAAAGCAATGATAACTCATCATTACATCTAAAAGCTTGATCCATGTTCCAAATGAACTTAGCAACTATCATTATATTTGAATGCAGCAAATCAGCAAGCAAACCACCTCAGAAATCGATTTTTCGTGTCCTTAGTATTACAGAAACAACATTACAAGTAGCCTAAGAGATACAACTTAACATGCCTTGATGCAACAATGAGCAAATATAAAGGGAGGAACTTACAGTTGGTAACAAATGGATACCTCTGAAGCAGATTCGAACCACTTACCCAAGGATTTTCAGTCCTTTGCTCTAACCAGCTGAGTTGAATACGCTCTACCTTACCACTTGACTAGTAAGGGAAAAGCCTTTTACTCAAAGAAACAGTTAGGGCTTGATTTGCTTGTTTGTCAAGCTTTCGAGTCTTGAAACTGCCACCTAATCTCCCAACATGCTCAAAAACCGAGAGCCTCCCACCCGGCATCCCACTCGCCACTTTCTTCTCATTTCTTTCACAATTCGCCTGGTTTATTCCCCCTACAACAGTCACACCCAAGACACCAAAATCAAAAGAACCCAAAAGCCTAGCTAATACTCGCAGGAGATTCAGAAATATGCATAGAAACCGATGAGGCCAGGACAAGATACAAGAAGCCTTGAAGAGAAGATAGAATCAAGTATCAGCCATGAACAGGACGCCAACAGGATATCAAGGAATAAGTAAAAACCACCTAGCTACAGGATCATCGGGATATCAGCCACAACCTTTTGGGTCATGGAACTTATAAACCAAAGAGGTCAAATTCAGTAAATATCCTAATCAACTGAAGAATCAATCAAACTGATAAACAGAGTATATACTTGATTTACCATCAACCCAGAAATCAAATTTACCCAAATGATGCAGAAAACTCCCTACAAGAGTCAAAACCATAAAACCCCCACAAAACACCGTACAAATCAACAATACCCAGATGTCAAAATCACCCAAAAAGGCATATCAGGACTTGGCTGCATGTATTTGACCTCAAACGAGCACGACCCAGATGGCGAAAATGGAGGAATTGGAGAAATTAGAAGGCCCCCCTTCCTCCGATCATGAATTAGAGCAAAAATCAGGAAGAATTGCAGTAGATAATCGGTTGGGGTTGTGTTAAAAGTCTGAGATGAAGGAAAGTAAACCCAGTGGAAGGTTTGATGACGAAGATGGTGGGGGCTGTGAGGTGGCGCTCGTGTATTACTGGTTTAGAGTGTGCGAAAGATGATGGTAGAGAGGGACGTTTGGGCGTTGTTTTTGCGTGGAAATCTTCAACTTTCCATTGGCCAATTGTTACTTGCCTTTAGCTTCTTAGGTCGGTGGGTTTGACATGGATGAGTTTGGGGACAATTCTTTGTTAGTGATCTAAATTTAGGGATTGGGATTGAATTTGAATTTGAAAATGCATACACCATTGTCAATCGCTTTACAGTTTGTTTGACTGATCTTGTGGCAACTTTTGAAAACTCCCAAATTCTGTTTTTGTGGGTAATTTTTTGAATATGGCAATAGAGTTGAGTAATGATTGGTGGATTTGTTGAAACTATGGGCTTTAAAGGTAAGTAGAGACCGTTAAAGTAAAAACTTGTGATGCTCAAGTAAAAGAGATCTATTCTATCTATGGGTCGGGACCCGCAGAGGTAAGTAGGGAATAAGGAGATGGAATGTTTTTCTTAGTTAGATAAACAGGGTGAGAGATGAAATTATGTTACCGCTCATATGGTTCTTTTGTGTCTTTCTTTAAAGGATTTTAAAACGCATCTACTAAGGTAGGATTCCACACCCTTGCAAAAACTGAATTTTTTCTCCTCCCCAACTAATGGGGATGTCATAATCCACCCCTTTCGGAACCCAACGTCATTGCTGGCACTCATTCCCTTCTCCAATCGATGTGAAACCCTCAATCCACCCCTTTTGGAGATCAACCTCCTTCCTGGCACATCGCCTCGTGTATGGCTTTAATATCATTTGTAACACTTCAAGCTCACCACTAGCATATATTGTTCTCTTTGATTTCTCTTTCAAGCTTCCCCTCAAGATTTTTAAAACGTCTACTAAGGAGAAGTTTCCACACCTCTAATAAATAATGTTTCGTTCTCTTCCTCAACCGATGTGAGATCTCACAAATTATATTTTTCATCTCCATTTTTGCCCATATACATTTCTACTTCTTGCCATATTAAAAATAAATATAAATCAATTAGTTTGGAAACTCTTATTATAAAATTTAAACTAAAAATTATGTTAAGATTTTTTTAATTATTAAAAATTATGTTGTCACGTTAAAATTTAAATTTTTAGAAATTAGGTTTCTTTCTTAATGAAATATATTAATTTTTAAAGATTTTTTTTTACCATTTTTAATAAAGATTATATAAAAAAAATGAAAACTTTAAATATAAAATAAATAAATATATATATATATAAGAATATTTTAATATATGCTAAAATAAAATAAGATTTTAGAACTATTTTGTTCAAAATTATATAAAATAATAAACTCTATACGTCTGCTAATTTAGAGAATGATCATGAGTTTATAATCAAATAATACTCTCTTCATCGAGTCTTTTTTTAGGAAGCCCAAATCAAAATCATGAGACTTTATGTTTAAAGTGAACAATATCATACCATTGTCGAGAGTTCGTGTTCAACTAACAAACTCATATCTTATTAAAAAAATGATCTTTTTAAAGTTGCATGAAATTAGCCGTTTTTACGATCCTAGGAAGCTCCCATTCGACACGACCTCTATAATCTTACTGAAATAAATGTATTCTACACAGGTTTGTACGTTTATATATCATCTTAATAATAAATAAATAAATAAATAAATAAATAAATAAATAAAAAAGTAACATGAGTGAGTATAAAAATAGTCTTCAAGTATTCTCGCGTGAGTGATTGTAACTATATTCACGTATGACATTCATGATACTAAAAACACACGGGATTCTATCTAAATTACGCATTTGTCCTCTGATTCATTGATTGTAACGGTCCAAGCCCACCACAACATATATTGCCCTCTTTAGCCCATTACGTATCGTCATCAGCCTCACGGTTTTAAAACGTGTAGGAGAGGTTTCCACACACTTATAAAAAATGTTTCATTTCTATTCAAATCCTCTATCACATATTTATCTTGTTGCTTCACTTAGATCGAACATGGAATGAGCTGCATAGACCCAAACAAAGAATGAGTTACAAATCTAGTATGAAGAAAACATATAGACGTCCATAGAAACGAACTTTAGGTTTACGATCTTGCAAAAAAAAAAAAACAACAAACAACAAACAAACAAACAAGAAGAGAATGGTACGAGGATAAAATAGAGAAGTAGCGGTCTCGGTGTATGGATAATTAGATTCGTTTTCTATTTTACCTAGCTTGCATAATAGGATCGAGAGAAATAAAAGAATGCAAATTAATTACATGTGTTTGTCTGAGTTTCGAGGACATATAAACGAGTTTAGATATAAGTTTAGTCATTGAACTTTGATATATGTATCTATTTGATTTCTGAACTTTCAAAAATATCTATTAAGTCCCTAAGCGTTCAATTTTGTATTTAATAGTTTCTTGGCACATTTTGATAGATATAAATTTGAATTTTATGTCTAATGAAACCTTAGAATGTTAATTCTGAGTCGAGAAAATCCGTGAATTTCAAAAAACTATTCAGAGACTAAAGTAGCAATTTTAAAAGTTTGTGAGATCCCACATCGGTTGGTGTGGAGAACGATACACCCTTTTATAAAGGGTGTGGAAACCTCTCCCTAGCAAGCGCGTTTTAAAAACATCGAGGGAAAGCCTAAAGAGGACAATATTTGCTAGCGGTGGGCCTGAACTGTTACAAATAGGATTAGAGCCAAACACCGGACTATGTGCTAGCGAGGAGGCTGTTCTCCGAAGGGGGTATAGACATGAGACGGTGTGCCAGCAAGGACGCTGGCTTTAAAGGGAGTGGATTTTGTAGGGGTCCCACATTGATTGGAGAAAGGAACGAGGCTGATTTTCGAAGGAGGTATAGACATGAGGCGGTGTGCCAGCAAGGACGCTGGCTCTAAAGGGAGTGGATTTTGTAGGGGTCCCACATCGATTGGAGAAAGAAACGAGGCTGTTCTCCGAATGGGGTATAGACATGAGGCGGTGTGCCAGCAAGGACGCTGGCTCTAAAGGGAGTGGATTTTGTAGGGGTCCCACATCGATTGGAGAAAGGAACGAGTGCCAACGGGGATGCTGGGCCACGAGGGTAGACACGAGGACGCTGAGCCCTGAAGGGGGGTGAATTGTGAGAATCTCATATTGATTGGGGAGGAGAACAAAACACCTTTTTATAAGGGTGTTGAAACCTTTTCCCTCGCATACACGTTTTAAAAGTCTTGAACGAAAACCCGAAATGGAAAGCTTGGACAATAACGGTGGAACTGGGCCGTTACATTTAGAAACCAAATTAACATAAAATTCAAAATTTTAGAAAATAAATTTGTAAATTAGAGTAATTTTTAAGTACATGCATTTGGAAATGGTTGATTGTGACATTGATTTTGATAGATTGTGCATACATATACCAAAAATCTTTCCAACTTTAGATATGACTGATAACCTTAGCTGCCTAACTGATTGATTATGTTTCAAAGGGTGTCTTGTCGCTTCTGTATCAATTTGTTATAAAAAAAAAAAAAAAAAAAATTACGCATAAATTTTTCTATTTAACGTTTTATTTCTCCCGAACGAACATCGTTTAATTAGCGTAGAACGTGTATTTTCGAGTCAAAGGTTCGAGTATCTAACCTCACAAATTATTCATTAATTTTCCAGTCTCCACAGAACATCTTTACGGGCATAATCTACCCATTGGGTCCAGCATCCATACTAGTGCACGGCTCGATGTTTGACTCTAATACCATTGGTAACGACCCAAGTCCACCGCTAATAGATATTATTCGTTTTAGCTCCTTATGTATCATCGTCGTTTCCACACCCTTATAAGAAATGTATAGTTCTTCTCTCCAACCAATGTGGGATCTTGGATATTGTCCCCTTCATCGACTCGGACCCAAAAGGATCTCTGATTTAAACTCCATACCTAATCAAATCGAAACAAGGTAGGGCCTGTGAGACCCAACACCATGAGTAATTTTGTTATCCAAATACAAAATACGAAGATTTGAACATTTAATCACGAGAGGAGTACATGTCAATTATCGATGAGACATGCTCGATTTTTCTTTTGATTTCTTTTAGTTTCGTCCAACCAATAAAAGACAAATTTACCCTTGAAATTCTTGGTCATAACATGTGATTACATTGCATAATTTCTCAACTTGAAAGCGAAATGGTTAGTTTCTTCCATTTTTCGTTTTGACCCAAAATGTGGCCTTCAAGCTTTCGTGTTTCTATTTTTTTCTCCCCTCATTTGGTCATATTATTATTTTATTATAATACTTTTAATAGAGCGGATAAGATGATATTTAAAGAATTAAAATCGGTAATATTTACAAATAATATTTCTATTTTCGGGTTGGGTCCAGTGGTTGAGTTATTTAAATTTTTTTATAAATTTATATTTATTCACGATACATAATCATTTAATACAATATTAAAGATATATATAATCATTCAACAAAATTAATAACAAGCAAGCGACGTTCTCGTGTGCAATTAAGAGGGTCAGTATGATGACTATGTGAGTAGTGTGCAGTATGTAGAAGAAAAATATTAGTATTTTATTTCTAAAATATCTTTAAATTTTAAAAAATTAAAAAAAAAAAAAAAAAAACCCTCAACTATAAAAAAAATATATAAAAAAATTGAAATAATTTTTAATTTTTTACAAACTTTTAAATGTGAACATGATTTTTTTGAAATAATCTTTTATTCTTGCATTATGAAATCAAAGTCAATAAATTAAATTTTTGGATATAATTGATTTACTCAATTGACCTTTTTTTTTTTTTTTTAATTTTAATTTTATTCAATATACCTCAATATTGATTTATTCCCTAAATGCCCTTGTGTAAACAAAGTCTACTCCCCCTCAATACTCTTTCTAATTTATTTAAACAAATAAATATGGATTAATCTCTTTCTCAAATTATAAAAAAAAATTATCGAAATTAACAAATTATAATTCCCGCCTCATTTACCTTCTAACACATTCGAAAATCGAACCAATATACTTTTAAAAGTTAGAATTTTGTCTTTATAATTTAATAAATTTTAATAAATCAAGAAAATACTCCTGGTATAATAGAATCTATTTTTTTTTTTTAGAATTTTATTAAA